CCTCCTGTGTGCACACTTCTGTTTTCCTCTCACTGAGCACAGGGGACTCTCAAGGGGGCAGGCCTGCTACTTTCTAAACTATGGCATTTGCTGCCGGTTAGTGGACATCTGTAACTCATTCTCTCTCTCTCTCTCTCTCTCTCTCTCTCTCTCTCTCTCTCTCTCTCTCTCCTCTCTCTATCAGGTGCTTTTCTAGTCTAGCCTCATTCTCCAGAGTCTGAAAAATACCTGGAACCCAGTAGGTGTCCAGTAAATACTGGGTGTATAAACTAGTAAAATTTAAGTGATTTCCTATTAAGATGCTCTGGACACCGGATATTTGACCAACACAAACAATGATAATGAGCTGGGTGAGTAACCAGCTAACACTGTTGTCAGAACTCACAAAAAGACAGGGCAACAGATGAACTCCAAACCACCTTCTCTGCTTGCAAAGCAGTTTCTGGCCCCAGATTTCCAATGGGAGGGTTAGCAGGAGGGAGAGGTAGGAGAAGCTGGAGTCAGCCGGAATTAATATCAGTAATGAAACTCTGTCCAAAGACACCGCTCCTCCGCTTACCTGTGGTCTGGGTTCCGTTGCTGTTTGTCTTTTGTTTTTTAATTAATGAAGCAAGTTGCAACGACAGGAGGGGAAGAAGGTGACCAGAGGAGGGAGAGGCAGGAGGGCTTCCAGTCTCCCGAGTACCTGTCATCTCTGTGACGTGGACAGCTGGCTCTAGTTGTATTTTAAATGAAATCTCACCCCAATGTAGACACCACGTCTGGGATTACGATCCACCCTGTGATCTGTCACTTTTATATACATAAGCACAGGGGAGTGGAGCGGTTTCCATAGAGAGGAAATATCACAGCCCACTTACGAACAACACCAAAGACGACAGAGCTGCGACCCCGAGCAGACAGAAGTTCAGAGGACCTGCCTGGAGCAGCCCTGCTGACCCTGGAGCTGTGCCCTCGCCCTGAGCATTTCCACTCCAGAGAAAGTCCACTTACAGGTAAGGCTGTTCTTAGGGACTGACTTATAAAGTGTAAATGTATTTTCTCTCAACAAGGGCTGGGTGCTAGACAGCTGAGAGAGAGTGGCTACCAGCCCTTGGTAGGGGCTCGTGGGAAGAGAGTGCTGACCTCCATGGCCAGACTTGTTTTAAATCAGCAGAAATTGGTGCCAAAGACACCAAGGAGAAGTTATTCAGGGGACAAAATGACCTTTCCTTTGTTAGTATACACAGACCTGCTTTGAAGAGGTGGCAGGTCCAGTACAGTTTGTCCAGATCTCTCTCTCTCTCTCTCTCTCTCTCTCTCTCTCTCTCTCTCTCTCTCTCACACACACACACACACACACACACACACACACACACACACCTCTTGTTTCTGAATGCAGTCCATCTATGAACACAAAAAGCAGTCTTTGGTGATAGCTTACAACTAGATGGGATATCAAAGCCCAGAAATTAGAGTCCCGTATTCCACGCTGCATCAGAGCAGCAAAGATGCATGGATCTGTTGTCCACTTGTTCAAGCTTCTTGCCTGTGGCATCTTTTTCCCTTTCCTGATATCCCGGGGTGGGGGACAGTTACTACAACATCCCCGACAGCTTAAGAGACTAGCCCAATGCAACATGAAAGGTGAAGAATTCTCCCAGCCCAGAATCCTTTCCATCTTGCAAAGCTGGGAATACCAAGGGTGGGGGAGTGGTTAGAGATTGGGGTACAATAGCTGAATGACTACCACTTGTGGGAGCGAGGGAGCAAGGAAGAATATAGAGGAATGTTTCAGGTCTACCTTTTTGTTCAAGTTTCCTGAGAACTCTGTTTGCTTTATCCTTTTCTAAACACAGCTATGTAAAGTGTGTAGGGGGGAGCCTCTTCTAGGAATGGAATAATTAAGATACACCCATGACTGGTCTATAACATGACAATTGTATCCTCCATCTTTGAGAGGAGAGAAGAGCCTCACTTTTCGTATTCAGGGGAGGAGTTGCTTGGGTCTAGATCTAGGTTGGACAGTGTTCCATACAAACTATTCCAAAAGTAAAATATTTCAAAAAGTTTCATCCTCTAATACTTGAAATGTTGAGTGTTCCCTAAGTTCTGCAGTGTGGATTCCCAAAAAGTTTTCAGCTGGCTCGTTTCTTCGTTGAGTTTCTATCTGTTTGCGGACACTGGGCCCCAGAGGTCTCTGTCTTTATTGCTACACTTGGGAAGCTGTGGAATCCATGGTGTCTCTGTCCTGTGCTTTCTTCTGGGTCTGGCCAGGTCCTTCACTGCTTCGTATTTACACTTGATTGGGTTACAGTTGTCTAGAATGATTGTACCTCTTTAAAGGCCCCATAGGAAAGTACTGCTGAAATAACCCCAAAGAGTTTCAAATGTCTGAAGATAAAAAACAAGTGTACAGATTTACTCCCTAATCTAACTAACTGGGGCTTGATGTTTCCAGAAGAAAGAACAGGGGCGACTTGAAACTTCATGTCGCTTCAGTTAAGGTAAATGGTCCTGAAGAAGTTAACAGGAGAAATTTGTTCAAGAATAACACATTCTCTAGGGAGCATGGGGCACCTTTTTTGTGGTTTGGCTTTATTTGGTTAGTTATCTGTTTATTTCAGCTTTTCAAAGCAGAGTCACACACAGTCTTGGGTTACCTGCTACTCCCTATGCTGCCAAGTATGACCTTGAACCCTGATCATCCTGTCTCTACCTCCAGTACTGAGATTATAGGCATATGCCATTATACCTGATAAAGAGCATTTTCCCTTTGATTCTCTAAGCCTCAGAAAAATATAAAGAATCATTACAAGAAAAGCCCTGAAGAGTAATGTGACTGTCTCCCAACTCCTGCCCATTACTTTGATGGTAAAAATACCCAGAATGGTAAAGAACCCTTATATTTTAGATAATAGAGGGCTAGAGTCGGACCTTCTCTATAATGCACAACGCTCTGGATAACTGTCTTTGTAACAATGTTTCATCAGTGTCAAGGCTGACATGTCTTTATCACCCAAAACACCCACAGTCTCATACACACACACACACACACACACACACACACACACACACACACACACGGACTCAGGGTGTGCCAAAGATGTCCCAGACAGGGTATTTGCTCACAGACACATCTTATGTACCATTCAGTCATCTTTGGCTTCCTCTCCATGATTTTCCTCTCTGATGGAAACGAAGGGTTTAAAGAACAAGAAAATAACGTATTTTTAAAAAATTGTTCTTTCTCTTTTCTCTCTCTCTCTCTCTCTCTCTCTCTCTCTCTCTCTCTCTCTCACACACACACACACACACACACACACACACACACACACACACAAGGATGTAAGTAGATTAAAAAGAGGTCTCACCTCTCAGCCCAGGGTCAATTACTCATGTAATTGAGATGAGCAGGACACAAACAAATCCATAGCAGGAGCTCCATGAAGGCCAGGACATAGCCAGAAAAAAATTTAAAGTTTTTCCTGGGAAAACTATAGACAGTAATTTTGGCAGAACTTTTTTTTTCATGTAAATACACATGCATGGTTTGAAAATAAGAACAACAACAACAAAACCCCTGTGCCTCATCAAGTATTTTTTTCTCAGTAATACATAATAGCATATGTCTGCACAGAGAAAATACATCCAAAAAGACAATTAAAAACCTCTTTCTACCTTAGGAAAAATTAATTTCATTAAGTGTGTGAATGCTAATCTGCATGTCAGTTTATATAACAAATATTTATTGAGGATATGATTTAATATAAGGCTCTGTTGACCCTATCAGCAGCTACCAAGGAACCCCAGGGGCAAAGAATCTCTGCATCACAAAAAAGATGACATCACTGAAGAACTAGAAATGCCAAAGAAATACAGAGTTCAAAGTTGCCCAGTTCAAAGGTACTGGTTTGTAAATTCAGGGGCTAGTTCACACTGAAGGAGCAGCCAGTATCAGTAGAGTCAGTCCCAAGATGGACTTGAACACAAAATACATTGAGTTTTCAGCAATATTTGTGATTCTTGTATAAAAATCTAAGCTGGCCCCTGCCACTATGCTGAAGCATTTTTAGGGAGAACAGGTGGAGCCTCACAATGTAGCAAGAACTTGGACTGTGTCAAGATTTTGTGTGCCTTCGTATCCCCTCATAAGCATAACTCACTCAAGAGTCTAACAGGTGAAAATGGGGTTCTTGGCCCTTAGACAAGAGTGCATTTGCAATCTCTGGGAGGAAGCAGTAAACAAAGCCACAGAAGAGATGGAAGTTTCTCTACAACTTTCCCACCAGCATTAACACTTTCTGAACTGTTGTCTGTTTGCTTTGCTTTTTACATTCTTTCAGGGTTAAGAAGTCACTTAAAATTACTCCCAAGTTTTAAGATGTCTTCAAGGCATCAGACAACGAACATTCACTAACTACGCAGAACTAGCTGGATCCTCAGTACATAGTAAAGCCAAAGATCTGGCCATTGAGCAGTGTGTCTTTGTTCACAGAGAACAATGATACAGCTCTGTAAAATATTCCCCAGGAACTCCAACAAGCTTCTTGTTGTTGTTTGAATCAAGCTCTTAATAGCTAATCTAGGCTAGCCTCAAACTTACAAGCATCCTGCTTCAGTCACTTGTGTGCTGTACAAGTGTGTGCCACCACCACACCCAGCTCTAGAAATTCTAACCATCACAAAGAGAAGTTGAACAGAATAGAACAGAGATGGGCCCACGGCATCAGCATCACCTGCAGGTGCAAGCTCTCAGTCTCAGCATCAGGGCTATATACTGAGCTCCTGACGAGCCTGAACTAAAGAGTAAGACTGATTTTTACAGCCTAAGGAAGTTTGGGGTAGCCTTGGGTGCATTCCTACTCATCAACTGAGAAAGGACACAGCCAAGGTCATATTGGCATTAAGGTGATTTAGAGCTCAGGCCTTTGATTACATGCCCCCTGCCACTGTACACCATAACAACTGCAGCTAAAGCCACTGTACGCTATAACTTCAACTAACGAAACAACTTTCCTCACTGCTGAGTGCTCAGCAGAATCCCGGTGTTTATTCACTTACAGAATATTCCTTGCATTTTCAAATACTGGCATTAGAAAATAATTACCCAAGTTTCATAGCTAGCCCAAAGTAAAGTTCAGGAGCACACCCAGATGCGAGCACTTGAAACCTGCTCGGTAAGTGCCTGCATACACTCCAGGAACAGTATGTTCTGATGACAGGTTGAGAACACACATGCTGGGTACCAGCATGTCAAGGTCTGCAGAACAGCAGCCATGGTTACTCTGTGAGGGGTTTAGATAAACCCTGGCCACTGACAAGCCCCAGCCATTTCCACTTGGGTTTTTTGTGAAGTTAATTAAGTCCATGTCTTTATTTCTGGGTGGGAGAGAATGTGCATTCACAGACCAGGCAAAAGGGGCTAGGGTGGAAATGGGATCGGCTCTTGTACACAGGAGGCAACTTCTGCCCACTCTCCGATTGGTCTAGAGAACAGGCACAGATGACTAGTTCTGAAGACCAAGAAGGCGGCCACACACTTACTTAGTACATTTGTTATTCACTTTGGGGGCCAGTGGCAAAGCTGAATCAAACAAGATAGAGACACCAGACTGGCAAATCCTCAGCTTGTAGAGACCATCAGAACTAACAGAGGGTGAACTGTTCTGCATTGCACAGCCGTGAGCAACTTAGAGCATGAAAGGTTTGTTTGGGCTCACAGTCTGAGATGTTTCAGCCCATCATGACAGGGCAGCATAGAGAAGCTTCCATCATGATGGAGCAAATGCAGACAGCAAGACAGGAAATAACCAGGCATGATATGCTTCCTAGGAACACCCCTGTCCCCCAGTGACCTACTTTCTCCTCCTTCTGAGTTTCCAAAACTTCTCAAAAAAAGCAGCTCAATCAGGAGACCAAGCATTCAGATCCACAAGCCTCCAGGATACTGTACACATCTAGACGATCAGAAGGCTGTGCTAAAACACAGGTGGTCGGGCTCTTTATTATGATTCCCTGGTTCTAGGGAAGGACCTGAGAATCGATTGCAATTTGTAACAAATGTCCAGGTGATGTTGCTGGTCTTGGGGTCAACTTAGAGAAACCTCCCAGAAGAACATTGGAAATGATCTATTGGACCTTGCTCCATGTCCTTCTCAGACCTAAGTCCCTCTCATGCCTGTTTCCACATCCTTCTTTTCTACTGCAGGGAGCAATGCTGGTGCCCACGTACTTCCCGCTGCTGCTCCTGCTGCTTCTGGGGGCCCCGGGGACCAGCCTCTCCCACAAGTTCTACAACGCTGGACCAGTCTTCAGCTGCCTCAACACAGCCCTGTCTGAGGTCAAGAAGAACAAGCTGGAGGAGGTGCCCTTGCTGAGCAAGAAGAGCTTCGACCACCTGCCCCCGCAAGACCCTTTGAGAGAAGAAGAGGAAGGAGGAAAGCCTGGCAAGACCAAAAGAACTTTCTCGGGCGCTGCAGGTGGGAGTGGAGCTGGAAGCAGCCGGTACAGATACCAGTCTCAAGCACAGCACAAAGGGAAACTGTACCAGGACAAGGCCAAAAGCGACCGGGGCACCAAGTTCACTCTGTCCCTTGATGTTCCCACTAACATCATGAACATCCTCTTCAACATCGACAAGGCCAAGCACTTGCGAGCCAAGGCAGCGGCCAACGCGCAGCTGATGGCACAGATTGGGAAGAAGTAAAGCAGAGACCTGGTGGGAGGGCCGCTCGCTGAGACAAGAGCCCCAGAATAGAGAGTGGGGGAAACTGAGGGCGTGCCCTTGAGTCTCAAAGGACTGCTGTGCCTCTCTGATCCCCTCTCGCTTCCATCCTGGTTTTCCCTTCTCCTCTGTACATACACATTTAAGTGCAGGATTGTCCAGCCTGTGCAGATGATGGAGGTTAGCGTCTCTCCTGTATCCTGTGTCTGCTTTCTGGTTCCCTGCAGTAACAGGCTAATTTCACCCAGTGCCTCTCCTCTCCAAGCTCCTCCCTGTTGTCCACATGTGGAAGGAGAGACTGTTGAGGCTCCCTCCCTGTTCCACCCGTACCTCGGCAGAGACAAGGAGAGGCACAGCTCACCCTCTTGCCACCAAATACCTCCCCTTATATCCCCATCTGGATTAAAACCAGTGGCTTCTTGAACTTCTGTTGTCTCTGCTTTTCTTCTTTCAAACTGATCATAGAACAGGAACTGCTAATGAGGGATGTTGCTGAGGGGGTCAGTTCCCCATCCCTCCTGGGGCGGCGCTGCTAAAGAGGAAAGGAAAGCTTAAGAATCGGTCAGCTGTTGTGGTTCCTTCTTAAACCGTCTTTGTAAGCTGGTCCCCAAAAAAAAAGCAGCATAATTTGGGATTTGTTTCAGAGTGGGCATCAGGCTGTGGACGAGCAGGAGGCTGTACCATTCCAAATTCCTCCATAGCACACTAGAGCACAGAGCCACTAATTTCTTAATTTCTTGTTGAGTTTTATGTGTATGTGTGTGGGTATGCATGCACATGTGTAAGCATGTTAGCATTGTGGGGCCACCTGTATATTGGTAGAAATACCTACATGTGAGAGTAAAGGCTGATTAATGTAGCTGTCTTCCTGGATAACTCCCCACCTTATATACTGAGGCAGAATCTCTCATTTGAACCCAGAGCTCACTGACTCAGATAACTAGTATAGTTATCCAGCTTGCTCTGGGGATCCTGTCTCTACTTTGCAGAATCTGGCATTATAAGGAGGCCACCATGCCCACCCAGCATTTTTATAGAGATACCGGGGATCTAAACTCCTGTCTTTAAGCTTCCATAGAGTCTTAGTTACTTCCTATTGCTGTGGTAAGACACTATGGCCATGGCAATTTATAAAAGAACATGTTTACTTAGTGCTTATAGTTTCAAAGGGTTAGAGGTCATAGTGGGGAGCAGGCCAGCAGGCAAGCAGGCATGGGACTAGAGCAGTAGCAGATAACACCCATCTTGAGACAGGAAAAGGAGGCAGAGAGAGAATGGAAAAATATGTTTTGAAACCTGAAAGCTTGCCCCCAGTGACACACTTTTCCCAATAAGGCCACACCTCCTGATCCTTCCCAATCAGTTCCACTAACTGGGGACCAAGTATTCAAACATATGAGCATATGAGTCATTCTAATTCTAACCACCACACATGGCAAGTACTTTACCCATCTCCCTGACCCCTTCACTGAACTCTCACTGAACCCAGATACCTGCCCAGTACTGTGCAGGGCAATGTGGCAGGTACTAATGTTTCTGTGATGTAAGGCAAGACTTCTGCTGTCTGAAAACCAGCTAACTGAATAAAAAGAAGCAAATTTGGAAAGAAGTCAATGTTATCACAATGCTACAAATGATGAACTTGAGAGTGAGAGCAGTTGTGTAAAATTACATACATATTCATAGATTTATATGACAAATTCAAGATGAGAATATTTAATATGAACAAAATTCTCCTAAAACTAGACCACATTAAAAACTCTGTGGCCTCCTCACAGCAAAACTCAATGGCCAGATTCTCAGAAAAGAGACCATTGTCCTATTGACTTCCACACAGGGACAAGTCATTAATAAATAAAATTAAACTTCTGAGTGACAACACAACACAACACACACACACACACACACACACACACACACACACACACACACACACACAAAACATGAACATCAGCGCACTACCAGAGGTAAAGTCAAAATAAAAATGAAGCTGGGGTTGTAGTTCAATGGTTGGTATGTACAAGGCCCTTGATTAAATGTCCAATACATGCACAGAGAGAAAGGCAAAGACAGAGACAGATCAGTCCGGTGGACCCAGGGCTGCAGGATCTCCATGACACAGGGCAGCAATGGAATGTACAGGAGGAGTCTCAGTGAGGGCCCAGCATTGATGGTGCAGCAGAGACCAATGATTCCTTTCAATAAACATCTACAGGTAAAAATATACGGATAAAGGGGTTTACTGTGTGACTCACTGTGTCACACTGGACCTTCCATGATGAGATTTTCTCCTTCTTTCTTTTTTTCTTTTTCTTTTTCTCTTTTTCTCTTAAATTTTATTTTGTTTTATTTTGGGTTAGGGCGGGAGATGAGTGGGATTGGGAGGGATAATGTGAAAGACACAAAGAATAAAAAAAAAGTAAAAATAAATAAAAGCTTAGAAATGTGGCTGAACAGTTTAGGCATGGCCCACTGGGCAGTTTCTTGGAGGCCTCAGCACTCAAATGATTTTTATCAAATTTTTAGGCTCTCAAGGTTTCTCACTCTAATTGTTGAGCTGAACTATGATTCCTACTTCCCCTATTGGCATTTTGAATCCTCGATCCCTAGCTCCTCAGTCAGTACAAATGTAATTACTTAAGTTGAGGTCATACCGGAGTAGCATAAGCCCTAATTCAATATGACCAGTGTCCTATGAGAGGAGGAATTTTGGCCATAGAGGCACACAAGTAGAAAATACTATTTGAAGACTGAAGTGATGTCACAAGCCAAGACATTACCACAAACTAGTAGGGTGGCCTGGAAGAGAACCCTCCCGAGAACATAGAGAGGGAGTTTGGGCTGCTGGCTCTTTGACTCTGATGTTTAGCTTTCAGAGCTAATACTTACAATACTGATTGAGAGTTCATGAACAAATGGATGTGAGTCTGCCACTTCACAGAGGGGAGACCTTGGCTATCTTTCTAACTTCTCTGATCTTTAATCTCTGTCTTCAAAACTGAACATATACATATACCTTGGAATATACTTGTAAGAATTAAGTGAGATATTATCACAGTTTCAGGAATACTAGTGACCAAGGAACTTATAAGATTTACTCATAAACATGTAATATTCAGAAAAGTATTCATTTCCCTGTTCTTGGAGTATTGATCTAAGAGATAGGATGATTAAAATTTAAAAATATTTAAAGTTAAAATTTTCCAGCAATGCCAGGCGGCGGCGGCACACAACTTTAATCCCAGCACTCAGGAGGCAGAGCCAGGCGGATCTCTGTGAGTTTGAGGCCAGCCTGGTCTACGGAGCGAGCTCCAGGACAGGCACCAAAACTACACAGAGAAACCCTGTCTTGAAAAAACCAAAACCAAAACCAACCCCACCCCCCAAAAAAATTTCCAGTAATGCTTGCAAGAGAATGATTGTTAAATCAAAGGGTGTAAAACTTTGTAATTTCACCAAATACTGCCGAATTGTCTCTCTCTGACTTGCAGGGACAGGGAGAGTGGATGCTAGCACCACCAATGCAGTGTATTGAGAAAGTTACAGACACTTGCTAATATGACAGATGAGAAATTATATGTGGTAGTTATAGTAGTACAGCTGTTATGAAGCTGAACACCTTTTCATAGAGTTCAAGCTCATTTGTATTTGCATATGTATGTGCGTTTATGTGATCTGTCATGCCCTTGCTTGATTTTCTCTTGGATTAGTTCCTAATGAGTTTATTTTTTTAAGTAGCTCTTTATATATTTGATCAGAAAGCTGTGTGCCTTTTACATGAGTGGCAAACATTTTCCAATTTTTTATTACTCTATCTGCAAGTCTCTCCGTCTCTCTCTCTGTCTTCCTGTCCCTGTCTTTTTTTTTTTTTTTTTTTTTTTTTGTCCTTTGATTATTCTGAGATTCAGTTTACTAATTTGTACAGATAAGGCATGGGAGGTAGAGCTGGCCATATCCACAGACCACCATTACTTTTATCATGACAAATTTCACTTTTGTGCTGGGTAAGTGTAGAGGACAGGCATCAGTCATTGTTTTAACATGCGTATGTCCTCTGGTCCTCCTGCTTTCTCCTGAGTCAGAAGAACAGATGCACAGGTGAGGATGAGCCTCGCTGGCTGCAAGAACATAGCAATCCAACTCAATGATAAGTTGCTGTGACTAAAGAGCTTTTAACTACTCTAGCAGCCCTGGTAATCAGTAAGTGGCAAAGGGAACTTTGAGTGCACAAAAAGTAAACACTATTCTTGGAACTTCCATGAGCTCTTGGCAGATAATAATTTGCCATTTTCCTAAGACACAATTTTTTTAATTATTCTCCAAGACAGATGTGCATGAAGAACTCAGTTATCTGGTGATAACTGAACAAATTCCCCAGTGTCTGTGTCCTCTCACAGACTGTGTCATCTCTAGTGATGGCCATGCACCCTCTTAGGATGAATGGTTTGAAGGGGGTCACTTAAGTTTTCTTTGATCAAGCAGAAGGAAATTACTAACCAATGTAGAAATCCACAAATTTTTAGGCATCCCCTCTATGAGCAGATTTTTGGTTGATGATGTTTTAGGGAAATATTAGAGGACCATGTCTGGTTCAAAATCCTGCATCTGTGGCATGAATATGTAAGACAGGGTTAAGAGGAAGCACCTAGTTGGATAAAAGTCATTCATGATGCTGTATACCACACTTTTAATTACATTTTATTCATTGTGTGCATGCCCATGCACACACAAGCATGCTATTCCACAGCACATATGTGGACATCAGAGACCAACTTCCAAGAGTCACTCTGTTCTTCCACTATGTAATTCTCATGGAACAAACTCAGGTCATTGGGCTTGGCAGTGAGTACCTTAACCAGCTGAGCCATCTCTCTGGCGTGCTAACAGACTAAATCCCATTGACTACTTTCACTGCAGTCTGCTCCCCATGGGAACAAGGATTACAATGTTGATTCTCAGTGCTGTGTCCCCAGGAGCTGTGCTCAGGATACTCGGATGGCATATAGGTGACTATGTCTCAAAGTTCTTGTGATAAAGAAGCTGTACATTTTTTAAAACACAGTGTTGACAACATTCAAGAGCAGCTGTCTTAGAAGAAGTACATTAAGCCCTTTAATTCCTACTTTAATTATGAACATTTCATAAGTAACTTAAAGCTTAGAAGGTTAAGCAATGATTTTTCTAGTTTAAGAACATCTTTGAACAGTAAAGGGTACCCACCATATTTACAGTTTAAATCTTTAGATTTAAAGGGAATTACTAAGCGTTTGTGGAAAAGTTTGTCATACTACTACAGTCCTTAAAAGGAAATGGCATATATTAAATTTATAGCCAATCTCAAATATTTAACACCATTTATTGAAGTATAAAAATGGCACCAAAAATGTATGTGGATCCTGTTTAAAAGCAGGTGTGTGAGCTTGC